AGAAGAACGTAGTGAGATTTTGTGAATGAACGTTCCGTAGTCCCTTTTAGTCACTACGATGAGAATATAAAGAGAAACCTTAGACATGAGCATCATATATTTGAGAGAAACTGAGGAAGCAACAATGCCTAAGATAGTGCCTTATGTGGATGACCCAGAAGTGTGGAAGAAGTTTATACGAGCCCAGGTAGAAGGTAGAGTCATAGAACACGCTGGATATGGTAGGCGAGGAAAACTCAAGTGGATACCAGTGTCATCAGTCCGCGAACCAATTGTTCAACACGTCAGTCCCACTGAAGCTGTTTATCAGAGGGCAAAGGCAGAAATTGACAAGCAGCAGAAAGAAATGGCTGAACGGGATCTGCCATCAAAGAGAGTTTACAGACAAATGAGTGACAATGATTCCTTTGACCACACCTATAATGGAAATGTGATGAATAGACTTTTTAAGAAACCTAAGAAAAAGAGTAAAAGAATGCCTCAAACTCCAGGAATCACCAAAAATCACTCAAGCGTGAAAATTGTAAAAATGCTCTTAAATGTATCGGGAGTAAGAATACTGTGTCCATTTGGTGATTAAATACCTCAAACTCAAGAAATAAGCGAAAATCACTCAAGCGTGAAGATTGGAAAAATATTCTAAAATGACTCCAAAGTAAGAATCAAGTAATCGTTTGGAGAAAAAATTAGCACAAATTGATCAACTTGACAATTTAAAAATATTCTAAAATAACTCAGGAGACTTTTTGGTTATAAATATTCAATACCTGTCTGAACTTGTTAAATTGTGCAGAAATTCTCCTCTATTGGGTGATTTTCTTTTATCTGATTGGATGAGAATATACCGCAACCCGATTGGTTAAAATTATTCTGAAACTCTAAACATAATTGGTTAAAATAATCCAAACATACTGTGCCCTGATTGGTTAAAATGATTCTGCATCTCGAAATCTGATTGGTTAAAATATACTTTACTCTGAATGGTTAACATAATTCTGCAAGTTAAAACCTGTTTGGTTGAAATGGTTCTGCAGTTATCTTTTTTACTGTTTTATCAGTTTGTAATCAACCTTTGACCTATAACAATGAAACATCCATGAAGTAGACAAGATAACTTATCACATAGTCACCAGGTTACCTTAACAGTGTTTGTTTGATTATCTTATCAATTAAGCTCTCTCTTATCAATTATCAGTAACCTTTGACCAGTTATATCAGAAACCATGGTAGTCATCTTTTTCACTGTCTTATCAGTTTATTATCTCTCTCTTATCAATTATCAGAAACCTTTGACCAGTTATATCAGTAACCATGTGACCTATGACGTCACTTCCACTTCCGGTGCATCATCTTACCACGTGGTCTATGACGTCACTTCCGGTGCACGTGACCTATGACGTCACTTCCGGTGGTAGTGGCATGTGCAGGTGCAGGTTGCAGGTCGAAAGGCCCGCCGTATACTACTAAGAGACAAAGAAACACCGGAGTCTCTTAAATAACTTGCAATAAACATGCATCTGCAATGGTAGTGCAACTTTAGTAATGCAATGTAACATGCATAAGAGAGAAGTTTGATAAATAGACACCACTCAGAACAGACATACCAGTGGTAAGAAAGGGGTCAGAAACCTTCTGGCGAGAGAAAATCTTTAAGATGAGGATATATTTTAAGGACTGCATATTATGTCACTATTGCAGAATCCTCTTCATCTCCTCCGACCAGGTCATACATATTGCCCCTGTTTACGTAGTCTTTCACTAATCCCCGGTTTAGAATGTAATTAAGCTTCCTAGCCAACCAATCAACTACCTTAAACCAGGCCAGACAACAGTGATCATCCACTCCCACACTTGCCAAGAAACATTAAAGTATCTAAGCTCATATCTTGGTAAAGAGTATTTCCTTGTAACATTGAGACCAGTACATACAGTAGAGACACTGCAAAGTGTGTCTCATAACTCAATTGATGGCAGTGGCTAAACAGCAGGCCTTACCGACGTCCAAACTCAGTATTTTGTTTTGTTCACCACATTTGCAGATCCCTACTTTGTTTTTTGGTTAATTTGATAGCCATACATGTATTTTGAAGAGATCAGAAAATAATTGCGTAATCTTATATTAGGCAGCCATTTTGAATTTCTTAACTGAATTTCATTATATTTTATTGCCTTTTATAATGAGTATAATAAAGCTATATTTCAAAAAGATCTCAAAATTAACACAAATTCCTGTTTTCCCGACCCCCTATTCAAGGCCCTTGGGAGTCAGGGTGAAAACACGGAATACATGTGACATAGATAGATGCTGTGAATATACTTTCAAAATTTCAAACAATACGATTTATTACTTTGACTTAAAATAGAAAACTTTAAATTTTCGTGAAAAATGCCCGCCATTTTTTTAGTGGCCGCCATCTTGAAAAGATTTTTTGCGTAAAATTATTCACCAATATACCATTTTCCCACCAAATATCGTGATAATCCGTCCACTAGTATTCGAGTTATTTTAGGGATGGACAGACCAAGGGATGTATACTTTGACATCAATCTTACTTTTGTATCATGCTCGGAAGCGAAGAAATCATCTTTGTTGCATTGTTGCAGCCATTTTGAAAAAAGGCATACATTTTGAATATTAAGTGGAAGTTCTTAATTTTCATCCCCTAATTAAATGGATTCTACACCCACAAAAATGTAGATTTGTGCAACAATCTAATCATTATAGCACGCATAGAACGCAAAGATATTGTTTCCGTTGTATTTTCGACGGCCATTTTGAAAAATGCGTATATTTCCAATATAAAGCGCCATCTGGCTTGTTTCTTTGTATAAAGGACGATTCTCGGTTTGGAGAACGAAGTTCATCAATCTAAATGAGCATTATCCCTGCTTCGGACAAATTTGATTTTTTACAAAATATAGATTTGAATGTCTTCTTTTGAATAGTCATAATTTAATTTGGGGTAATATTTCTAGATTTTTTGCAAAAAAATTTTGCGCAGTACACTGATGAACTTCCTTCCCCAAATCGAGACTTGTATTTTTCATGAAAAAAATTATTAGCCCAGGAGACTTTTCTCCAAACCGAGAATCGTCCTTTGTTTCTAGGGTCCCAAGGTACTCTCATGTCAAAGGAAACATTTGCATCATAAATTGAAGTCCAGACCCCCTAAAATGCAGCTAACCCACCTACTAGGTAATAAAACTTAAAAAGATTGAATCACCAGTGCTGGTGTTAATATCTAATGGCAATGACAATAAAATGCAATGTAATATATGAACATTAGTGGAAATGATTATGACAGTTGTAACTCTTCCCATCAGCTGAGCTCATGTAGCGGAACATATGCCTCATAATATCAGAGCATGTTTCTGGTGAAAGAAAAAGATGTCATGAGAATCGGAATGGACCATAGACACTGTATACATTTTGAAGTCGTTTTACAGTTTAGGGTTTTCACTTGTTAGACCAATGGGAAATAATTTCATAAACAGTTTTCATAATTGATCTCTCTGATGGAGATATTTTCTAAAATAGACATTTTGTTGATTACTGCTATGTTGAAATTGGACCTCCATTTCAATAAGATAAAAAATGAGGGCAGCATTGGGAGAAATTAATAGTGTTTTGGACATTAGACTAAAGATAAATCAGGGGATCTGCAAATGGACATTAAAAAATGCATCAGCAATTCATTTTTGACTAACAAGACTTGAGAAAAACTTTACTTTTCTCCGTTCCCCAAATACTGCTTAACTCCATTAGATGTTTTGAAGAACCTGTGACAATGTTTAGATGTCATGCCAGATACTATCATTGCAAATTAATTTAGAGACACCGACATTTCTAAAGATGCCTCTAACACATTCCTATAGTATGTTAATTATACCTGCACTCATTGTAACTAGACTTTTAAACATTTAAAGCAATTTTTGACGCTCCTTACTAGGTAAGTTTAGTTACCGATACTAACAGGTGAATACTATTCACTAGTACTGGTGAATATGCGATACTCATATGTGATTATGCGATATTCATTGCGGTGGACGTGATGCAAGAAATCTGATATTTTACACGGTGATATCAGATATTCACCAGTGAATATCGCGTATTATTTCATAATAACATATTTCCCCGGTAAAATAGTAGGGAATATTCAAAAAATCCCGTATCAAATCCCGTATCAGCCAAAATCCCGTATTGGATCTCGTATCAGCAAAAATCCCGTATCAGAATTATTCCCGGTAATTTCTCTAGAGTTATTAATCATATATATTTTTAATTAAAACTTGTTAATAAAAGCTGAAAATGTTATATGATAAATTGTATCATTTTATGTCACAATCATTGGGTGATGACATACAAAAATTAAAAATAAAAAAGTTTTATAAAATTATTATAGAATAAATAACATTTTTATGTAACTTGAGAAAATATGATATTGGCCTCGGGAAAATATGATATTGGCCTAGGAAAATATTATATTGACGCTCGGGCTATCGCCCTCGGTCGGTATTTCCCTCGGCCAATATCATATTTCCCCTCGGAATAAAATTAATATTCCATCCCTCCCATTAAATAACCTCCATTTCATCTTGTCTTTGAGAATGTCGATACAGATCAGTGAATATAGTGTTAGTGCGCTTCGAGCACCAAGCATTGACGTAGCAAATTATATTTTATCTTATCTAATCACTCCTCATTTTGAACATCTCATGGTGGAAATAACCAGGCAATTGTAGGATTTCCTTTTTGCAAAACCATGCCTTTGAAATAAACATGTTCATATTGATGTACAATCTTTATTTGCCACCAGTTCGTAGTTGTTCATTGCGTCTGCATAAAATGACGGGGACGCAAGTAAGTATAACACCCTGTGGTTTTTAATTTTGTCAATCGTCAACTAGATTGCTCATTTACGTTTTCAGGTGAGAATTTAATTAACAACAATGCGTGATATCGTTTCCGTAATTGTTTCATAAGCAATCTATCTGATCTGAGACGATCGGGAACATAGTGATTTTGGCGTCCATTTGGAATCAAGGCATTATTCCCATTCAAGATTATTCTAGTATTTCTAACAGAAGGCTTCTTCAAAATGTTGATATGACATTTCGACTTTTCTAACCAACAGAAAACTGTCATTGAATAGTCAATCAAGCCAGATACACAATATTTAAAAAACTAAACTAGACAAACAGGACCAAAGGAGCCATTCAAACAGCAAGGTAAGAACCAATTGTTTATTCGAATTCATTGTTTATTTATTTAATTAGTCTTTAATATTTGATACAATATTGACTGTAATTACAGATAATAGAGATTGCAAAATAAATGAAAATAAATCCAAGTTAATGAATACATTACCCTTTGCATTCGTTTAACTTCACTTCTTAAAAGAGAGCTTCGTCTTCTAGTTTAACTAGACTCTGCACGCAGGGTATGAATACATATTTAACGACAAATTACATAACAATTGCAAGATCCTTTAACAAGTCAAAGATCTCTTATTGTACAATCTATGTAAGCAATAAAAATCAGATAAGCAAGGTCTACTTGTCTTTTTGAGACATTTTGAAAAATGTGTTCAGGTAGGGCGCTATTCATTAATTTTTTGGAGAGTTTATTTCCTAGGGACTTTGATGAGAAATATCGTATTCGTGTTAAAATACTCATGGTTATTAAAGATATGCCGTTTTAATTTCATTGTCCATGCCATACCTGGTCATTTGTTATTCCGGGCAAGGTCTTTTTATGTGAGCGCAAAATTACTAATTAATATAAAAAAGGAAAATGCCCTACCTCAGTATATCGTTGTACTGGAAACATTTTACTTTGTTGCCCAGTCAATGCGATAAGATAATAACATTTTGTAACCATGGAATATTGTTCATTCCTTGTGTTTTAAGATGAAGGGGACAAGATTGAGTCTTACGAAGGGATTGCCAACATATAACTCTTTGAGGACTGTGTACGGGCAACACCAAGTGAATCAGTTGAATAGGAGCGAATCCCTCTCCGTTCCAGACGCCTCAAAGGTATAACCTACCTTTATATATAGTTAGGCATGATGTATCACATCATTCCAGTCAATCAGAACACTACATGCATTCTATCTTTTTCTACAAATAAAAGGTTATTTAACTTATTTTAGAATCACCAAAATTGATTACTGTGATCAATTTCTACTCTGCATTCGTTCGACTTTGCTTTTTAAAAGAGAGCTTCTGAACCCTATACTTTTAGTGCCCATTCACGCAAAGCGTTAGTCCTTCAGAAGATCCCTTGAAGAGACCTACCAAAGCATATAGGGAATCGTTGGAGAAGTACACGGGGTTGGAGAATGCGAGACCATATGCACTGATGCCCGGACCCAAAGGCTACCCCTTGATAGGATCATTGCTGGAATATATAAAGAAGGATGGCTTGAAATTCAATAAGATGTTTGAGGTAAAATTATGAAATGGCAAAACAGATCATCTGACCCCGAGAAGCAAATCATATCTGCTGTTACTTTATCGAACATGCACATTTAGTTAGTTAGTGAATACACGACCTTCGTGGAGACCAATGTCTGCCTTGTGCCTCAATAATCCAATTTTTAAATCATATTTTCATGTTCCATTTAGGTGATGCAGTCGAGGGCTAGGGAGTACGGTCCGATATACAAAGAACATATTGCCCAAAACACCTCTGTGGTCGTGACAGATCCACTAGAGTACTCAAAGTTGATGCGACACGAGGCCAATGTAAAATATCCACACAGAATCGAGATGGAACCGTTGGCACACTACAGGAGGGTGAGGGGTCTCAGTCTAGGCCTCGTCAGTGCGTAAGTAATCGATATATACTGGGGGTCTAAAAGAATCAAAATCATAACAAAATATATCATATTATGAACTTCCGACACCCAACATACTCATTGAACCAGTATCACGCTTGTGGATTCGTGTTTTCAGACAAGGAGAAGAGTGGTACAAATACCGCAAGGTTGTGAACAAGAAGATGTTGCGGCCAAAAGAGGTGATGGAGTACATCCCAGGAATGGATGAGGTCGCTACGGAGTTCAGCCAGAGAATGAAGAAACTTCTAGATTCTAAAGGAGAAGTTGATAACTTGGAGAATGAACTATTCAAATGGTCTTTAGAATGTAAGTCAATCAATGGTATCTAAGAGTTCATTGTAAAAGTCGTGCTTAAAGTCATTTATACTAAAGTCTGTGTCTCGTGGACATCAGCTCTCCATGTGTCTTGCATTCCTTTTTCGGAACCGATCGATGGACCTCTAGCCCGGTCGGAATCACGACCCGATCATCATGATACTCATATCATATTTCTTTTGCTAACTAATTAATAGTCACGATAGAAGGCGGAGAGATCCCACGATGCGATGCGATCCGATTACTAATACTACACAACTAAAATAGACAACTAGATAGACATGATAGAATATAGTATTTCATATCTATTTCTTTCTTGACTTGTCTTATGTGGGCCTTTTCTTCATCCTAGTGTGGGTTGATTACTTCGAATATGCGGTTTTCCCTCTTGGATAGAGTCGTATCTAGAATACATTAAAGGTTTTCTTACACGGAAAAATAAAATAAAATCAAAAAGGGCCACCTTAATATTCACCCAGAATGCCGAAAAACAAATCAGTTCTAAACTCTCATACGGTAGAAACATCACTGAAAATTTCAGATGACTCCCTGAAACGGTTTTGCTGTAGTCATGTAGACAAGCCTCAATAGACAAGATTTTAGGACGGTAAATCCAAAATGGCCGCCTTAACATGTACCAAGAATGGCGAAAAACTAAACAGTTCTAAACTTTAATACGTAAAAACATCTCTGAAAATTTACGATGAGTCCCTGAAACGGTTTGGCTGGCATGGAAACCCGTAGAAAAGATAAATCGGGACGGAACCCACGCGCCCGGCAAACTGATCACATCATAGCACCCAAAGGTGCGATAAAAAGCTCTGAAATTATGAACGATGTTTGCTAAATAAAAAAAAAGGCTTTAAGGTTTTAAGCACTGAACTCAACTCCACGATCCACCAAATTTTTTTTGATGCATGAAAAAAACAGTTTGATTTACTTTTAGAAAGTAAAAAACATATTGGTTGAATATATAAGAAGGGGAGTGAAGAGGACAGCCAACTTGAAATTGATAAAACCTAAAAACAAAATCAAAAATCAATAGAATCTAAAATTAAAATAGCCATGCTTGGTTGTTGTTTCAAGAATGTTGATTATTTAAAATGCTGTGTCCTGATTGACTGGAATTTGATATATCGGGCCTAGCTATGTGTGATTTCTATTTAAAACATAGCAATTGGTACGGTACTGTTTGAAGAAAGGATCGGCTGCTTAAACGACCCACCTCCTCAGCTTGCGAAAGATTTCATCTCTAATTTGATGGGTTTCTTCAAGTATCTTCAGCCACTCATGTACAATGTGCCGATCTACAAGATCTATCCTGTAGATAAATGGAAGAAGTACACGGCGCACGCGGACAACGTAATGGCCATTGGACAACAGTTTGTTGACAAGGTAATGACATAGTCATCGGGCAATAGTCTGTGGATATGATTTAATGGATATGATGAATTCATATGACGTGTCGCAAAAAGGTGGCGCATTTGTTTTTAAAGGGTATCGCGTGAATGTAACTTTGATTCCCCGGAATATAAGATAATATTCTAATTAAAGTTATATATCATTTTAAAGCTGTTTCGATGAAGATTTCAGATCAACTACACTCCGTTCACATTTTTTGCGCGTTCGTTTTTAAAAAAGAGTTTTTTACCAAAACATCTGGCAAATATCCCATGTTGACACGTTACATTTTGAATTATTTTTCGTCTTTAAACGCTCATAACTCAAACAATATATGACTATTATACTTATTTTTCGTCTTGATAAAGGTAGATGGAAGTTTTATTTCAAAGGATGAATTTTAGTAAGCGTCCCGTATTGTGACGTCATAGAGTCTGAAAAATAGAATCTGTTGACAGCGGCCTTTTTTGCTCATTTTTTGGTACCTTCAACTTTTCAGGTGTACATTAAACAAAAAATACGAGATCAATTTTTAATAAATCATACATGATTATTTTGCTCATAAACTCTAGTTTATTAATAATTAGTTGATTTTGTTCACAAAAGTATGTGTTTTCTGTTGTATGTGGAAAAGTGGAGGACGAAAGGTTTTCAAAATTCATTAAAATAGGGCTAATTTACGCCATTCGCCTATTTTCAAGCACAGCAACACGTATATTTATTTCACCTAAAATATCAATTGATTCGTGATTTATGATGCTCCTAGCCCATTAACAATATATATATGATATCAGAGTTATTCGTCTAAAATGTTTTGAGATATAGAGGTAAATGTGGAGGACGAAAGGATTTTCTTGTGTGTACATTTTTCTCAAAAACGTCACATTCTATCATGTTAAAAGCGAGGATCCTCTGGATTTCGCCACAAAATTTGTAACAATGCGTGCGCGAGCTTTTTGCGACACGTCTATACATTGGACAATAGTTTGGTGATAAGGGAATGACATGGTCATTTGCACGGTCATTTGGCAGTTATACTTTAATGGAAGAAGTCATGTACATTGGACTGTTGGACTCAAGTTTCGTCACTGAAAAAAGTGGGTGTTGGGTGTTGTTATCTTGCGTACATCACGAGCTAACTACTGTCCTATATTCTTAACGATACATACTTAACGATTTTAGAAAGCTGAATCCCTGATGCGCCGAGAAAAGGATGGGACTGTGGCTCGCTATGAACGTGATGGAAGTGTACCGTTTCTCACCTATATGTTATCGCAGACATCATTAACACTGGAGGAGGCAAATTCAAACGTTATTGACCTCATGAGTGGAGCAGTAGAAACGGTAATTTATGCTCTAATTATATCAAAATCATGAGTGGAGCAGTAGAAACGGTAATCTATACTCTAATTTTATCAAAATCATGAGTGGAGCTGTAGAAACGGTAATTTATGCTCTAATTATATCAAAATCATGAGTGGAGCAGTAGAAACGGTAATCTATACTCTAATTTTATCAAAATCATGAGTGGAGCAGTAGAAACGGTAATCTATACTCTAATTTTATCAAAATCATGAGTGGAGCTGTAGAAACGGTAATCTATACTCTAATTTTATCAAAATCATAAGTGGAGCTGTAGAAACGGTAATTTATGCTCTAATTATATCGACCTCATGAGTGGACTGTAGATATTAACGAGAATCCATTATCTAATTGTATCGACCCCACGAGTGGAGCTGTAGAAACGGTAATTTCAAGAGAAATTATATCGATCTAATGAATGGAACTGTAGAAATGGTAATCTATGCTCTAATTATATTATTATTCTCGAGTGGAGCTGTAAATATTAACGGTAATACTCTCATGTCACTGACCACACGAAAGCTGATGTAAAAACCATCTAGGCATGGGATATTGATTTGGATACCGTGTACATTTGACTAAGATTTGGACCAAATTCTATAAAAAGCATTTCAAAAATGGCGGCCACTTTCAAATTCTGTGGCGACCATGAATATGTCTTTATTCACCAGGGCCATTTTGAATCGAGTGATCATGGTGAAAATTCCTTTTTGAGCAATGAGCAAATGTAGTGTGCCAATAACGAATACGCCTCTAAAAATCCGTATTCATCTAGTACCCGAACACACGGACGTTCGGTAAGATAATAATGAAATTAGGATTAGAATTGTAAATCTTAAACTTTAGAATATGTTGAAAATGGTACGAACAACTAATAAAAAAAATGCATCAACAGTAAAAATGAAATGAGATACGATCAAAAAGTAAAGCAACATTCAAAACAATGAAACTCGTTTACTAACATTCATGTATATTGCACTATAATTGACATGTTTTTCTTCACACTAAGACATCCAATGCTACAATATGGACGCTGTACTGCCTGGCATTGAATCCTGCGGTGCAAGAGAAGATGCACCAGGAGACGATCAAGGTTTTGCCCAACAAGGCCCCCATCACTGGAAAAACACTTGCTCAACTCCCATACGTCAAAGCAGTCCTTAAAGAAGTATTTAGGTACGCATTATTTTTTCAAAAAAATTATTCCAAGGTAATGTTCTTCACTTATGTTATGTTGTCTCTTAGTGGAATAGCACGTAGAAAATCATCAAGTGTACTTACATGTAAAACGAAGTGTATATTCATTCAATTGTCTATCGAATGAGAGTGTTATGCTTTCCATAATGCATACACATTTTCATTCTTCATTTCAGAATCTACCCTATTACATATTCGACAAGTAGAATCATACACGAAGATATAGAGATGGGTGGATACAGGATTCCAGCAGGGGTAAATATATGATAAATTTATTCTTCGGTTGTAGTGATGAAAATACATTATGATTTGATGATACAGATAGGTGTACCTTTCCAGCTTTTGATGTCCCGTTTACGGGAGGGGGCGGCAGGCGTTCAATATATATAAGCATCGCTTTCAATAATGAAAAGTCATTTAGCATCTAGTCATTAATGTGGTTTATTTATAAAAAATTATAAACAATATTCAGACATCTACGTGGTCACAATTTTGGTACAATCTAATTGAAACCCCATGGTACAAAGTAACAATAACAAAAAAACATCCCCACGTTCAATTAATTGTGACCTAAAAACTACAACTAAACTGATCACCTCTGTTATGTTTAGTCACATGTCCAGGCCAATTTGTATGGTATGGGTCATGAATCTGCCTTATTTCCGGAGCCTGAGGAATTTCGTCCGGAACGTTGGTTACGAGGGAATACAGATCGTGAGTTACAGGCATTTACAAACCTCCCCTTTGGACACGGATCTCGCATGTGTATTGGTAGGCGCTTTGCAGAACAAGAAGTATACATAGCAGTAACTAAAGTAAGCATTATGGAAAAGAGCATTTTTCCTCATATTCAAAATATATTTTTATCTAATAAAAGTTATTTTCATATTGTACATATGACCACATATTGTTCTGATATTTGTTTGCACCTACATAATTAGTCTAACACAACTCAACATTAAAACTCGTACTCATATTCCCTCAGCAAATGGAGTTCATTCCACAAAATAAAGAGTAAAAAAGTTAAAACACTGTTACAATTGTACATTCGACACATGTGTTAACATAAACTTATTTCTTGTAGCTTATCCAGGACTTCAGAGTGGAGTACCATCATGAGCCGATAGAGCCAGTTCTGAACACAGTAATGACTCCTGACAGGCCTGTTAAATTAACATTCATTCCTCGGAACTAATAGAACCAGTTCTTAACACAGGCAGGTTAAATTAACATTCATTCCCATGGAGCAGGACCAATTCTTAACAAAGGTCTGTTAAATTAACATTCATTCCTCGGAACAAATAGAACCAGTTCTTAACACAGGCATGTTAAATTAACATTCATTCCTCGGGACTAATAGGACCAGTTTTTAATACAGGCATGCTAAGTTAACAATCATTCCAATGAACCAAGACCAGTATTTAGCACAGGTCTGTTAAATCAACATTCATCTGAACTGACTTATAAGGTCAGTTCATAAAACAGCCCTTATAGAACTAACACTTCACCTCTATGGACTTATCATATCTGGGCAGACTAGATGTTATCACAGTTATATTGTTATATCACAGTTCTTGGTCTTCACTTCAAAAGTTCACTTAAAAGCATCAGTAAATGGTAAATGTGGAATACATGTACCTTACAACTTTTATACTTCCAGCAGATTTTGTCCCCATGAATGAAAATCCACCTCCTTGATGTCTTGGCAATAAAGGTGTATCAATGGAAGATTTCTAGTCTCGATTCCTTCAGTAATTTTCTTGTTGAATTCTGCAAGAAAATATATCATGTATTATAAAATTCATAAGTACAAATGAGATAAGGGGAAAGGCCGAAGTTTTAAAATACCAAAACAATTCTAAAATGTTATGTACAATTACAGCCACTTGTGATGAAATGAGTCCCCAACATCCCAAACAATTATCTTATCACATGCAAAAAAACAATGAATTGTTGAAAAATATGAAATCACAAAATGAATGCATATATGTAATGTGTTAGTGGAGTAAGTTTGGTGTAACATTTGTAAAAATAAAAAATAATTTTTTTTTCAGAACAGAAATACTGTAAAATGTTAGAAAATGTATTCACCAGTTATTTCTTTGTTGTGAATACCCCCACATTTCTGTTTATCACTCATGTCACCATGGAAACCAGAGTAAGGTTTACACATAAAGACAAGTTTCCTTTTAACAAGAGGACTGTTACAAAGTCGTCCAAGAGCAGATCTTGTAAATTCTTCTTCCTGAAATAGTACAGTAATTATCAAAGTATGGCAATATTATAATCAAACTGAAGAGATTTTAGAGAAGATTACAGTTATGGTATTGTTTTTCTGATTTGCCTCCAAAAATTTGAAATGGTTACCTAAAGTGGGAATTTACTATATTCGCTATTATCTCGTCAAAGTATGACCCAAGTATGGTGGAGTTTAAGGTCTTCTAGTATTGTAATTACTACGGTTGGAAACTATTCATTTTATGAACTGAGAGAAGAAAAAAAGGTTGATCATTACTTTTCAAAATTATGATTCAATAACTGTCACCTGTGTTATGTAAAATTACCCTTTATGATAGGTAATTTTTTTAGTAATGATACTGTGCAGTGTCTATACAATTTGTAATTTTAGTAATGTAAGACCTTATTAGTTTTTACATTGGATAATTTCAATTTTAAAACAAGGCATTAAAATGCAAAATGTCACCACCATTTGTTACAGACGCCAACTGCCAATCACTAACTGCCGCCGATCACCAACCACCGTCCCAAAAAATGGAGACCATGACAATATGTCACCACTTTTTGGTGGTGACATGACTACCTATTTTATAGCGTAATTTTACTTGATACCAGTGAACTTGTAAACTTATCAATAAATCAGGGATACTTAAAAAAGTTGAATTAAAATGTTTTTCATACTCTGTCATACACATATTCTCCCTTGTCCATAATATGTTGTTTCAGTTCAATCCATAATTGTTCCTTGAGTCCAAGCAGGTTGCGTATCAGGTCATCATTCACATATAGTATAACTGTGTTGGTACCATCCTCCACTATAACACTAAACGTGACATAAACATTAGCTATTTGGGCCTAAGTGGTTGTATACATTACAGTAAACCTGTCTTAATAAACACCGCTTTCTAGTGAACACCTGTGTCTAGTAAATACCTCTTCTTAGCAAATACTCCACAAGTATATATAAAATTGTACAACACCTACCTATAGTGAACAATGTTTGTGGTTCCATGATGTTCACTGTACACAGGTTTTACTGTAGTTAGTTTCTAACTATGTTCCCTAGTTTCTACCGGGAACAAAATGCCTAATATCACATGCCAACCATGTTCACCACCTCATATTTCAATCATGTTCACCACCTATGAACCCACCTCATATTTCAATCATGTTCACCACCTATGAACCCACCTCATATTTCAATCATGTCCACCATCTCTGACCCACCTCCTATTTCAATCATGTCCACCACCTATGAACACACCTCATATTTCAATCATGTCCACCACCTAGGAACCCACCTCATATTTCAATCATGTCCACCATCTCTGAACCCACCTCATATTTCAATTATGTCCACCACCTTTGAACCCACCTCATATTCCACCTCATATTTCAATCATGTCCACCATCTATGACCCACCTCATATTTCAATCATGTCCACCATCTATGACCCACCTCATGTTTCACTCATGTCCACCACCTATGAACCCACCTCATATTTCAATCATGTCCACCATCTATGACCCACCTCATATTTCAATCATGTCCACCATCTATGGACCCACCTCATATTTCAATCATGTCCACCACCTATGAACCCACCTCATATTTCAATCATGTCCACCACCTATGAACCCACCTCATATTTCAATCATGTCCACCAGCTATGAAACCACCTCATATTTAAATCATGTCCACCACAGACCTCATGATCCTACCTCATTTTTCTTAAAAATACAAGGAATGAGACATACCTTGCTCTTCCCTTGAACTTTGGCTGTTCTCCTGAATAACATGGCGCATATGTACATCTTCCATTCTTGTGAACATTTGCACATTTATTACAGGCAGTCCTCAGGTGGATCTTCAACACTTGCTGAACATTACAAATATTTTGAAACACCTTGTAGCTTTCAGAGGGATCCAACAGTTGGTTCAGTTTCTTATATGGTGCATTTGACCAATCAGTTTGCTGCAGTATGGGCACAACTCTGTAGATATATAAAATAAAAATGTGTGAAGGGTGCACATGTTATTTACTACATAGATTAAGATGATTCCAATCATCACATCTTCAGCAGAATATATGCTAGTGAAGCATGGCCATTCGTTTTGAATTCATTCAAATGATTTTGAAGTATAGATACATTCAGATATACAACATTTATTATGGATGTATTTACTTTACTGATAAATAATAATAGATTATAACACAGATGACTTTGCATTTAGCAGAAGGTATAATATAAGATGTTGTCAGAATTTCAAACCATAAGGAACAAAAATATTTAAATCAATTTAGTTATCTTAAGTTTGTCTTACTCTGTGGGAGAAGTGCATATTATCTTGAATGATGATGTCACAATAAAATTGCAATAGGCTCTTCCGCTCTTTGATACCCTTCTTTCTATGTTGAAGAACTGAACCCTTGCTCCCCTCAAGAGTCCAAGTGGATATGACCCATTTTCCAGTTTGGCATATATCATTATTTCCTCAGAGGATATGAGGTCCTTGATAAGCAGACGGAGGCACTTGTTACCAGGAACAGAGACATCTATAAAAATTAAGTATATTTCAAATGAGCTAATATGTATGTATGTACAAAAAGCCTTAAAATCTCAGATGGTTATTGAGTTACTAAAAATTTGAAGAACTTCCATCCCTGGCTCTCCAGTGGAGAGTCTCCACAAAGCTGGAGTCAATTATCAAATGAATAATGTCTTCATAAAATTCAAGGTGACTGACACTAAAGCTATAAAAGCATAGCAAAGTTTTCCTTTATACAAAATGGAAACAGTTTAATACTTACTAAGTTGATTATTCAATGTAATATTCTGTTTTGACAGGTTGTAAGTGTTATTGGCATCCACAAAACTTCTTGACAATACAATCCCCTCAAAATTCAAAATGTCTTTTGACCTACAATATTATAAAAGACAAAGATCAACCAATGGGAAACCATTGAGGTTGATTGCATAGATATTAAAGAAAGTACATATAATGCAATTTTGGACAGTTTTGTTTTTCAAATTATGATTTTGATGTTTCTCACATTTTTCTGTTTTAGTACATCTACTTGCTAAATATAAATGTTACTTGTGGAAATGGGCAAAAATAAGATACAATATGACAATGCAATGTTTATTGACAAGATTTAATGATTTCCTTCCCAAGTAATTGGATCTATTGAGCTAAACGTTGAGTAAGGTGTCTGAAAAAGGTAGATATACTGATAGGTCCCCCTTCATTCATGTCTCATACTTACTTTCCAGTGTTGATATCCTTGACAGTGTGAATACATTGACTATTTTTGTAAAGTGCTACAACTTGGGGGTCTACATCTTTGTTGTCACATCCGTGTAAAGACTGCTGTACCAAACAGTCCTCTGGCTACAAAATGAACAGAAGCTTACAACATGGGAGTAAAACATGTTCCAGGATTCACTAGTCAATGGGGTCACTTTAACAAGTGTTAACAAGGCATTAAAGTTATTACCAATGGTTACAAAACTGTTACAGATGCTGAATGCCTTTCTGCTGATCGCTGGTCATAAAAACAACATGTCAGCTGAGCCATTCTTTGTGGTGGTGATATATAAACGCATAAATAGGCTTTTTATCAAATTGAAACCATTCTCAACATTTAACATAGATTAATCATTCTAAAAACAAAAGAATATATTGCAAAATTAGAAAAAACTTACACAAGTGTCTTCTGCAGAATTGCATCCTACGATTGTGGTCCAACAAGGGCATGTAGAGACACATCCAAGGGTGACCCCAGGGGGCAGTGTAACACAGGGTTTTGTTTTACAGGCTCTCATTGCAGTTCTCAGTGATGGATCTGATACTGGTTCTAAAATTGTAAATGTATACACTATAAACTGGTCTACTCTTGCATGGTTCTTAATGATGACACATATAGCAGACCACCCTATATGTCACCAGCTCTTGTGATTATACAAAATGATTGACTTTAAATGACTTTATTTTGGTAATGCTTTACCTTAAAATGACTTTACCTTTGAAGTATTGCTGATGTGTGCGACGCTGCATCACCAGCTTATAGAAACACCCATGTTGTAACAAATGGTACCATTGCACATAGTCCCCTGACAGTAGTATAGACATCACTCTGGTATTGTGCTGAACTGTTGTCTTGATAACAAAAACAATGTGAGACATTAAAGGTCAATAAACAGGTAAATCTATTGATCTAATGAGCTAAAAGGTCCATTTAGGATTTATGGACAACTAACTGTGATCTAAAATATTTTATTTATATTTCAATCCATCCTTTTACATTGATTTTACTTTCCGAAATACCAAAATCATCTGCTTCTATGCTGAATGTTAATGTTAATATATACATGTATATACAAGACAAGGAACCTGTCTACATGCAGCAAAGGAATTAAGAATTTGATGTTTTACACTTTTCCTAAAAAACAGTATACAGTAGTCAAGCGAAATTAAAATCATACCTTAGTCTGACCTTTGAGTTGTGATTGGCCTTGACCTCTATGCACTCCATATTGAGACTGGTGTAGCCCTTTGACGTGCAACTGTTCTTTATTTATGTGTGATTTAAGTCCAGATTTTCCACTGTTGTCATGTTTGACTCCTGCTTGTCCTTCAAATGTTTCCTCTTCTACTTGTAAATGAGGATCATGGTCTCCAGTGGATGTAATAGGCTGACCAACAAGTATAACATTAATGTAAAAAGATAACTGAGGTGAGGGACTGCCTCTGGTTTTTAAAGTCAAATAATCTTTCGAAACGAGGCAAAATATCTGAGACACCAATTCAGTTCTACTGTCACCCCTCTTCTGGAGGGCTTCTCTACCACTAGATTCAGCAGCAAAGTCTGATTTGGATTTTTTATTGAACAATGGAGCTTCCATCTCATCATTTTTAAATGAAAGTAAAGGAGTAACGTTTTTCATAGAGAACTGTACATGTTTGTAAGAGAGATCTTGCTGCATTGCCGGATCTTGGTGTCCAGGGGATTTGTGTTGAAATGTTTCTCTGACTAGATTATATTCTTCAACGATGATGACTGTACCTAAGGACTTGATATGGCAATATGGACACTTCACGGATACGTCACATGATTTATGACATTCATGTGGTGTGTCATCACTGTCTTTTGGTGGATCATTAGGAGCGATGATGCAGTCAATGGAACCTGTTTGATCAACCAGTTGGATTCTACCAGATTTTGTTGAAACTGCTAAAATCCCAACGAGTGGCTGAAAATTGAAAATAAAATGAGGTCTTTGATAACATAATTGTGCTGCTTGGATTTCTAAGAACTATGAATAACATGGATTTTTTCTCAAAAGTTCATCAAATTCATCACTTTTAGGTAATTTGAAATTATATGAATGGACGCATTATCTAGTGCATCCATGCATTGACATGTATTTACACATAGCATGTATTATCACGCTCTTGTTATATCAGATTATGGTCAATAAGGGATGAGCATGAGAATATTTATAAATCTCAATATGCCTGTATCATAAATTACTAGCCCAGTATGCGCTTATGCATGATTCAGTATACATTAGGTAAGGAAGTAAGGATTTGAGGCCAGAGGCCCCATTCATATAGACATAGATGTGCGGTAACTGCAAGGAGATGTGGCGGGCCAAAAATGTTTGTGATGGCTTCATGAATTGGACCTCTGGTTGAACCTTGGATATAATATAATGTGGTTTCTAGTTGAATTCTTATTCTTCTTCAAGGTATAAACAAGGCATGAACATGTCGCTACCTGTCATTTGTTACAGACACCAACTGCCCAACGCCATTTGTTACAGATGCCGACTGCCAAACAACAACTGACAAACACCATCCACCAAAAAAAGTTTGAGACAATAATAATATGTCACTCCTGGTGGGGATATAAAAATGTTTTGCCAATATGTGAAAATAATTCAAGCAGAAGATTCTGTGAATCATGGCTGATTCAATAGACTAATTTCTTGTATACTAGCCTTTTTATGAAACCCCCATGACACTCCAATGAATAACATACCCAAGGTTGTTTTCCATAGTCTGACTTGTGGGCACTCCAATATGTTCCATCATTCTCTACCAACCTCATGCTGTCTATAATATGCTCTGATGTGACTATATCTGAGAGGCAGGCAAGCTTAGAGGTTTCACTCATGTTCTGGAAATGTATGCAAGTTGATATATTTTGAGTGTGACATTCATAATTGAATGTTACATTGTGAGGATATTGATACCACAATTTAATACTGTTTTTTACTAATCATTATCTTTTATCAACATTATTCTTGCATTTTACTTGCAAAATATAGAAACCTCACACAAAAAGGGAATTCTTCAAGCATGGTTCAGAGAGGTCAACAATGCTATCCAATTATGAATTGCACTAGAGAACCACTTCTATTTCCATTTTGACATTACTTAGCTCATTTCTTAGAAAATCTGATTACACCAACCTAGTTTTATTTGAATGTAAAAAATGAAAAAATGATGGGTCTGACCTACCATAGTTTTCTGAAAGATGCAGTCATGTTGTATAAACTCTAGGATTCTGTTCCTAATAGGAGGGTTCTCATCATTCATACAATCTCCCATTGATGTAATCTTCAGAACCTTTCGTAGAATTGCATCAATTCGGATCCTGTAGAAAAATACTACAATGATTTATCTTCCCTGCACAAGGTTCATGTCAACTTACTTTTAATTCTTAATACATAGTTTAAACTAAATGACAAAATCAAAACACAACCAAAAAACGAAATCATAATCAATCTATACATATCTTTACATACAAATCATATGCTGGAAATAAAAATCAACTTTATAGAAAGAAACAGTAACATCAATTTCAATTATTGAATTTCAATGAACATTTTTCAAAATTGTGAATGATAGCCGCCTGTAATATTAGAGACAACACTTATTAACTTACCATTTATATTTAGGATGAAACTTTTTCTTCAGTGATTCAAATATTTCAACTGCAGTTTGAAATGCTGGGAAAGTGAAGTTATACTGCAAGGCAAGATTGATGCATAATGAATCTTTCTGTTTGGATATCTGGAATTAAATAATGATAAATGTAATGTAAATACCATTTGGCAACAGTACATTTTATGTAACTATGTTTGTTTCATTGTACCAACTGTTTAATGTTTAATAAAAAGTAAGACTGAAAATATGTCCGATAGTGATATTATTAAATACATACACTGTAGTTAACTGATTATTTTTGATGAACATTAATAGGCCTATAGTGATTACAGTTTAAAAAAATATGAATTGTCTTTTAATAAAATTTCTAGATGACAACAAAGAATACCAGGTATAAGATCACATCAATTGAATTGAATTTCAACCAAGTCAAGCCAGAAATGGGTACAGTAAAACCTCTCTAAATCAAAAACTCTTGTGAACATGTAAAGTAAATGTACTTGAAGGTATCATGCCAACAATGACCAATCAAAAATGATTCACACTCTGGCATGTTTACTGAGAGGGGTTCAATGAAAGAGGTGTTCAATATATAGAGATTTCATGTATACAATAATAGAATATTACACTATCATCTATGTGCCTCTTCCTAGAGCTACTGCTACTACTAATGTGGACTTTGATACAACTCTGGAGGCAGCAGTGAAGCTGTATCTTTGGAGCCTGAAATGACAACACAGAAGATACATTATATCACAAAATCAGATTTTTTGCAAGTGACTTATTTTCAACAAAAGGCAAAATCCAGGAAATTGCATTAAAATGTTTTAATTTTTTCAACATTTGAATGGAGGATGGCTGGGGTGATTCATGAATAAAATTCTATTTATTTCTCTGGATATCATAATTTAGTGACTTATGGTAATATACTTCCAACCTTTGATGATCCTCTATGATGGCAATTAAACACAGTAATCTTTGCCCCTAGGGCCATGCCACAGGGACGCTCAATCATCCAAGAATACAACCTAAAACAGTGACAATGCATAATTATGACATGGTAGGTTTCCAAGTATATTAATAGCCTTGAGATACCTACGTATTGACATCCATGTTATTGGGGATATTCATCAAAACAACTCCTAATGTGAAAACTTTTAGCTTGCCCTAGAAGGATCGAATGTACAGTAAAACCTGTATATCATATCTCTAATCTGAAAACCTCTCGATGTAAAGTCAGTCTATAAGACATCTACAAGGGTTGTTCAAAAGGTCTTACACAAGTATTTATGAAACTAATCAACCAATCTTGTTCATAATTGGAAAGTATGTGCCCCCACTTCATTCCTTTACACTCTCAAGGTTTCGTGTATTTACTACATTTTAAAACTAAATATGAATTCAAATATTAATGCTGCCAATCCAAACAGTTACGGATGGTGCCAGTGGAGTTTGGATTAGCTAGGTTTTACAGTAGTTTTAAACAGTACACACATACCTGATTTTGTTGTCCAAATCATAGATTCCATGATGTTCTAATGAACAGCTGCTGATTGTGCCCTATAATAGGAACATGTAGATTTATAATTTAACATTGAAATGCTATAAATGCATGTAGTATAAACATATTTGATATATTTGAATATTGAACAACTCTTTTGTTTATATATTCCTTCCACTAATTATTCGTTCCTGACCCTAGGCGTGAGAAAGTACAAAATTGATTACATTTTTCTGCAACTTTTTAAAGCCTGCATGGAAACACAATCCCATATTCTCCAACTGGGCAAGCATGAAAAACCTTTCTTCTTCTAACATTTTGGATCAACCCCTGTACATGTTAGAGCTTAACTTTGTTCAGCCTAGACAACAAATACTAATATGCTGACTGTTAATGTAGCATGTGAAAATGAAAATATATTGACAACTGCTCTGACACAATCATGAAAAGAGAATAACACAACAGCTATACCTCATATGAATACATCTTCTGACTATCTTCACTAAAGGAGTCTGGGGTATCAGATGCAAGGACATCTAAGTCTAACTGTCCATCATGTTCCTGCATACCACAATGCTTCTCACACCAGCTCTAAACATAGACACACACACATTACAGCACACATTACAGACAAAAATAACATACCTCAATAAATTCCTGATAATATTTGTCTTTTTTGGTGCAGGCGCAAATTACATGATACAGTATATTGAAATGTTCGGACAAAATTCTGTGTCTTAAACTTATTTCAACCTTCAACACTATGTAAAATCCCATGATTAATACAGAATCATAAACCTATTAAACATACATATCAGTTGTTTTAATTCGTTTTAACCTGTTATCATAGGTTTATGTATAAGACATAATTATAACAATGAATTATACGGACTTTTTTGGAGTTTCTCCTCTGATACTTGTATAATTTGTTTTAATTTGTTATCAGCTGTTATCAGCTGTTATATTCCATCTGGTTCAACTGGGAAAAACATATTATACTGGATGATACATTTCTCTGCTCTTGCGTATAATTTGTTTACATTAGGTTACATGTTGTTGACACAACGTGTTGACACTATCTTGTTGACATAGACATATTGATTGTTTTAATAAAAGCGGGTATTGATAAATTAAGTTTTGACATTTGAAAGTTGTAATGAATTAATATAAATGATTTTTCAAAATAAGTCACCAGAAGTGATTAGTGCAGCAGTTGAAAGATATATTTTAGTTTTAGCATTTATAACGTGCTTGCAAAAACACGGGCGCCCATTTAGATTATTAGCGGTTTTATTATAATATTTGATTGCTTCAATGCGCTCCATGAAAGAAAAATGTGGGCACTTTATTAATTGAAATCAATATGTCTTAATATTAAAGCTACATTGTTAACGGAGACAACGTAAGACTGCGACATTTTAACCCATTTCAAAATTCGGTGTTTTTATTTTCCATAACGGCTACTAGTATTTGTGTGCCATAGTTATCTCAGCTTTCGGGAATCACGGTTATCGTGATTTAAGGGCAGTTATAAAAATATACAAGGCGATGGTTCAAAATGGACAATTTTCAAAACTGCTTAACTTCATGTTTTTAAAGAATGCTTGCCCGGCGAGGGGTTTGCTATTGCGAGAGAACAAAAACATTGAATTAGGATTTTTCCTAATACGTAATCATTAATACTTAATCATTAATCAACAACTTTTTAAACCGTCTCTCTGATTAAACATCATGCCAATTAATACCACGATTGTGTTGACAGGATTAAATGCGATATCTATGGAATAATAATTTAATGAACTCAATAGTCTAAATGATAAATAAGTTCATAATTTAGTCCCCGGGATTTAGTCTTGGCTGACTAGTCTTGTATCATCAGAGTTGGATTACAAATACCTCCCTAAATCAAATATTTATAATTGTTTTTATGTCTCTGATCCAACCACTAAAGTTTAAAAGGAAGACTATAGTGTCCCGTGAATTCATTATAATTATCTTAGACAATAGTGAAGCGGTACAATCGTGGGAGTGTTAATTAATCGGAATGCAAGTTTGATACATACAAAATAACTCCTTTGGATCAAATATTTACAGTCTCCATTCAAGCACTAAATATCAAAAGAAAGATTTCAGTACCCCTTAACTTCGCTCCCGGACTTCACTATTCACCACCTCCCCTCCCCCTTCCCCAATTATCTTTTATGACCCCAGATTGTTCGTTTCTGTGCCCCCCCCCTGTCCATGGCAAGTAAGTAATCTATGTGTATATCGGCTCCCTCCCAATGGTGGGCAAAACCAGATGCAGGCATAGACATTGACAAGGTGAGGGGATTAAAAATAAAAATAGTTTTGTTTTAGGATCTGACTGAAATATTTTGGCACTGTTCAACGAAGCGGTTTAAGGAATTAGAGGCAGAAATAATTCCTAGATGACCTGTCTTTACTGTAATCAAGATGCTACCTAACCGTAGTTTTAAAAGTTATTTATCTTTTGTGATAATCTAATACTACTTATAGATTGGTTTTCCAAATGTAAGACCCCGTATAAGACCCTTGTCTCTGATTGTGAAACATGTGTATGCATCAAATCCGAGGAATATTACATTATGTGAAACAATTCCAAAATGTTTTGTCTTCAACTCAATCAAATAGCAATATATTTCAACATGTGGAAATTGTTTATTAACGTAATGTCGGGCACTATAGGTGAACGGGTTTTCAGTTTTGCTCTTTTTTGTCACACTTAAATTGTGTGCTTTATTTATTTGGAATTTGAATTTGAAAGGGTGAATTCACATCCAATAAAGCTTATAGTATCATTTATTAACAGATGCATCGAGGTAGAGCCACCGTTCAAAAGACATAAACATAACTCTGTCGAGTGCAATAAATCCATGCATATCCATTCGTAGCAATCATACGGCCAGACCAGGGGAACACAGTTACCCTTCGCATTCTTACATTGTCCGCATGTCAACCATACGGCGACTGCACGGTCAGCCTGCCTTTCGCACCTCTCATACACGTGAACAAATTCTAAGATCATATTAATTACCATTGATTCCTCGTTTTCAATCCCTGGTTTTCAAAGCCCGTTAGATGTTAATGAATGGAGATTTTTAAATGTGCTTTCATTAAACAGCCAGGAAAAATAAACTATTTTTCATTTCCCAGGAATCACATAATCCGTCAAAATTCATTTAATTTAAAATGCATCTAATATATTACATGTATACAATCAGACAGACTGGCTATTCTAATCCGTTATGAAAAGCCATTTGTTTTTTCCTCTACAGGATGTTTCTGCGGAAGTTAATTTGTTTATCTTAGTGTTTAGAGGCAATGTCCTTTGATGCTTTCGTGAAATAAATGAACTCTGTGATGGACTACAATTGTATATTTTCTACAGGAACAGTTACCCGAAGTAGACACTGTTACATTATTTTCATTTTAGGTCTCTCTAATTAGTTGCATTGCAGAAGTCTAATATTATTCTCTCCTGTGCCGAAGGTACATGTACTTATACCCGTAGCCAAGGGGGGGGGGTGTTCAAGGAGTCCAGCTCAACAGAATTCGAATTGAATACAAAATAAATTCATAACATATAAATATATAAATACATAATGTCTATCCAAGTCTTCTTGCATTTTCTGAACTTCAAATGCGCCTTTTGATGTGTGATAACAAAATACTAAATAAATACTTAAAGTCCCCGTCTAAAGTTTGAAAATATTTTTTTATCATTCATTTACTATTTGTCAGGACTTAAAAAGTGATTTTAGAGATTTTTGAACAAAAAAAAATTTTGAAAAAAAAGTTGTGAGCATTTCATTTCTCAAATATTCAAATTTCCCGCCATTTTTCAAAAAAAGTTGACATTTCTTAATCATCAAATATTTCTTAATGCATTTCAAAAAAGATTATCTTTTTAACACCAATGCAAAGGTTGAACAAAGGACACACTATTTCAATAATGAAATGCCATATGTAATGGGCCACTTCAATGTTTTAGCATATCAAAAATATTTTGAAACATTAGTGATGTCACTAAGGTACCAAAAACTTTTTGAAAAAAATTGAAATTTTTTTTTCGATGTCAATCTTTTCTAAATATGTTAGACTTTCATAAAAACCAATGTTGATTGTCTAACCAGGTTAAAAGGAAGAATAAATTATGTTTTAGATATCATTGTACCATTGGTTTCTATGAGAACTAAAATTTTGAAATGCATTTTTCTCAGAACCATTTTCATGCACTGATAAGTTCATTTCTCGCTTATTTATGAACCGATTTTCTTAATTTTTTCGGCAAAAAACATGGGAGGATGAATGCTATGCCTTGGTATGAATTGTGGCTAATTAGAAGATATGAGTGACCTCTAAAAGTTGGTTTTAAATAAATTCACAAATTTTGGAACAAAAAGTCTATCAAAAACCACTTTTTGAAATTAAAAAAAAAAGTTTCACATATCACACTTTGATAACATTGGGTAAGACTACAATATAAGCCAAAGTGGTTTAAACTTTATATGGGGCCTTTAATGTTACTCCAGCTTGTTTTTATAGTAATTTGGCAATTAAACATGCATAAAGAGATAGCAATGTGTGTACTGTGTACAACCCGAATCCTCTCCTGATCAGGTCACGTTTTATATGTCTCTGATGTAATAACTGCCCTGTCAACCCTCACGCATTAGGCGTGATTGTTACGCATTTGCTGGAAAAATAGAAATCACGCATCAATTTAGCGTGTATGATCAAATATCACGCAAATCACGGATTTTGTTGAAGTTTTTTAAAATCGTTTTTGTGAAATGCCGACACGGTAAAATACCGCACGGCAAATAAAAGTGAACGCATTCCGTTCGGTCTTTGCACGCGATTGCCGTTTATGTCACACATTTGGTACAAAATATGTGTATATATCACGCATTTGTTTCGAAAATATTCACACCTACCTAATTGATTGAAATCATTCAAATCAAAGTTGGCATTCGAGAACAAAAATGTGTCCAGTCAAAAATAGATTTCTAATGTTTGATTTTGAGTAGTTGTATTTATTGATCCTTGTTTTTCAATCTACAGATGGTTCACTGAATTTCGAAGTAAACAGAAAATAATACACATTTCCTTGGTTCCCATGATACTGCCTATAACCCAGGCCCGTAGCCAGGATTTGCCAAGGGGGGGGGGCAGTTTTCAAAAATGTCTAGGGGTTCACATTTGACAATTTTGGTCCAAATATGGCTAAAATCACACGAGAAATGCTCAAAATGGTGAAAAACTGCATGATTTTGAAAGAATCTTTGGCCAGGGGGGTTCGCCCGAACCCCGCGAACCCCTCCCCTGGCTACGGGCCTGCCTATAACCTATAATACTCATTTATTAAAACATATATATTTTATATGTCTCTGCTCAAACTAAGTCAACTCCGATTTCAGTTCTTAATTCTTCACTTGGAACGATATAGCCAACATGATACAACATGAATTTGGATTAATTATACATATATAAAGCCTATTGTTATCAAAACCCATAAATCCTCACCATATAAATATAGTTTTATTAATGACCAAAAAACAGATATCAGG